CAATGGAGAAAGGTGGTTGTATGCCCTCACTCTGCCTGAGGTGTTTGTATATAGGGCTTTCAGGATGTTAATAAATTTCTCAGGCCCACCCTTCTTCAATAGACAATCCCAGAGAACAGTCCTGTCCAACGAATCGAAGGCAGCCCTGATGTCAAGAAACACTACGATTGTTGGCCTTTGATAAGTATGGCGGTGTTCTAACATTTGGAGGAGGGTGAAGATGTGATCAATACATCCTCGACCAGAACGAAACCCAGCCTGCTCCTCGCGAGTCAATCTTTCTCGGGTTTTGAACAACCTACGAGGTATGACGGAAGCCAATAACTTGGACGCAATCGTAAGTAGACTTATCCCCCGATAGTTGTTACAGGAACGACGTGAACCCTTTTTAAAGATAGGGACAACTATCGACTCATTCCATGACGTTGGCACACTCTCTAGTTCCCAAACCTTTGTAAACAACGTCGTCAATTCCTTAGTCAAAAAGTCACCACCATCTTTAAAAAGAGCCGGAGGTAAGTCATCTGGGCCAGGTGATTTGTAACGCTTCAAGAGTTGGAGTTCCTTGCGGACTTCCTCCTCGTTTGGTGGATCAGTCGTCACCGGCCATGGAGGGCAGGACAGTCTGACCGATGTTGCCGGAGCAGCAGGCCAGTTGAACTCCCCTTCGAAAAATTCTGCCCACCGTCCAAGACGTCGATGGATGTTAGTGATTGGCATCCCATCATCCTCGCAGATTGTTTCACTCACACCAGACTTCTTGCTGCCAGTGGCTCGGATGAGCTGGAAGAGCTTCCGGTAATTACCAGATGCAGCTGCTGCTTCCAGCTCATTAGCACGCTTCGACCACCAGGCTTCTCGGTCCTTACGCAAGCTTTGCCCAATTTCCTTACATAACATCCTTCGTTTATGGTCGAACTCACGGTCACCCGGAGTAGACCGACGGGCTTCAATGAGTTGTAAGGAACCAGAAGAAACCCAGTGCTTAAAAGCGGGACGTTTCGCAAACCCACAACTGACTGTTCCCGCCATTTTCATGGCGTCATGCAATTGCAACCAATGCTCATCTATACTTTTCGGTGGAGTGGTAGCTAGCCTAGAGGCTAGCTCGGTTCGATACTTATTTGCAACAGAAGTTGCAACCAGCTTGCTAACATCAATCTTTTGGTGGTGATCACTTCGTTGGCCACTGAAAAGTAAGGCAAGATTGGCGCAGACCAAGGCATGGTCAGAGTCCAGATAGGTACTCCAAAAGGAGCGGCAGTCTTTTACACAACCACGCCAGCGGTAGCTGATCGCGATGTGATCAATCTGAGTCCAGGCTTGGGATGCAGAGGGAGGACGCCAGGTGGCACATCGGCGATGACTGTGCCGAAAGTTAGTGCTAGCCAGAAACAGGTTTTGGTCTGTGCACAGTTGCAGTAGACGGTCCCCGTTATCTGACCTGCGATCAACAAGTCCCCATCGGCCACCTAAACGACTCTCTTCTGTGCCTAGAAGCCCGACCTGAGCATTCAAGTCTCCGGCTAGTACTACAATATCTGTCGAACGCACTTTCTGGAGAAGAACAGATAACTGGTAGTAAAACTTATCCCAGATTGCAGCCCGGATGCAATCTGTCGGGGCATAGGCGGAGATGACGAAAAGACATCGTTTCTCACGCCGATTTCTTCTCACTTTGATGGAACTTTCTAATCTAACAGCACATAACCGACTGTTAATGGGGATCCAATCGACTAGTGCTGCCTCAGCTCTAGCGCTTAGTGCGACACCAACGCCTGCAAGACCAGACGAAGATGCCACAGGGTCCCCGGATAAGCGCACGTAAAACAAGCTTTTTGAAGTGACAGATGTAGAGCGAATTTGCAGTACTTCGCTAGAGTCTTGAATACGGGTCTCGGATAGACAACAAACATCAATATTAAGACTTTCCAAAGACATAGCCAGCCCTATCTGTTGACCAACCTGCATAAGTGTGCGAACGTTGAAGGCAGCCAGTTTGAATGGCGCACGTGGTTTCAGAAAAACTGCTTCAGTACTCATATTCGATGGTAACATACAACTTTCAACCGGACAGTGACTCGAGAACGTTTAGATACAGTCGGATTTCCACCAAAGACGAGCCGCTGTATAAGTATAAAAGAGGGTGAATAATGTGCGAAATAATAATAATAATAATAATAATAATGACAATAATAGTAATAATAATAGTATTAATAATGACAATAATAGTAATGATAATTATTTGAATCGACTGATTGTTTTTCGGAGCGATAAAAGTAGTTGCCAAAGACATAGAGTTCATCGTTTGTGTGTGGGCTGTGATACTGCCCGGGTGCCCAAACCGAAGCAGGTGGTTTTCTTAAGGGGCCACTCCCCGAGCCTTTGACCTAAAGGTCTAACCCACAAGGCAGTGGAGCATCGTAAGGAGATGCAATCCCATGGTAGCCGGTGACCAAGATTGGTTCATACGCCATTTGTTCCCGCAGGATACTGGAGCCCATGTGCACCATTGGTTTGTGATCCGGTTAAAGCGCCGGACATTCGCTTTTCGTCCTCTCATTTTCGTAAACAACACCCCCGCCACGAGAAGGCAATGAGTAGGACTTCCCTGGCAGAGGCTGTATACGCGCGGCCGTGTAAGAGCATTTCGAGAGGGAGAGCGGACTCACCCTACTCTCGGCCGTACCAGGGCACCGAAGTCGGTGTTTCAAGATAGTGACACCGATTGCATTATCGTCTCTGTGCCCGAACACACGATGCCGAACCTCTGCATTACTAAAATGGAGCAGCAATCCTTCGGAGACAGCGATGATCGAACACAGAGACTCGTCTAACGTCCTCAACTCGGAGAGGCCAGGTTTCACAGGCATAGAGCAAAACTGCTCTCACCAGCGCGTTGTAGATCCGACCTTTTGCGGCCAGACTAACATCACGAAGGCGCCATAGATGGCCCAGATTGGCATAAGCCGCTCTGGTTTTCACTATACGTGCATCGATCTCATCACTCACACCCTCACCAGCACTTATGCAGCTACCCAGATATACGAACTTCTCGACTACTTCTATCTGCTCACCATCCAGGGTGAGTACAGGATTGGAATCCTGCCAGTCTTGTAGGAGTACTTTGCATTTCAAAGGTGCAAAGCACATACCATACCTACGGACACTGATTGCCAACTGATTAAGTGCGGATTGCATGCTTTGGGCATTATCGCACAGTAAGACAATATCGTCCGCATACTCAAGGTCGAGAAGGCTTTCTCCGGGCAACAGATCCACACCACCATTACTTACATTCATCAGAGCTGTTTCCAGAATGTCATCGATGGCAAAGTTGGAGAGGAATGGTGAGATTGAGCAACCCTGGCTAACTCCACTGCTTGAATGGAACAGTGGAGAAATGTTGTTGTATGGAAGGTACTTGGTTGAATTTTTTCAGCTGTTTAAAACCTGGAGTCGAAAATATTGATTTAAAAACCAGTTTACACACTTTTTACGAGACCGATGAAGATAGATCAGAATGCAATAAGTACGGGAAAATAAAAATGCTTTGGTGGTTGACTATTCATACGTTAACGGATGGGGAAATCCTAGAATATTTTCGCTTTGCATACTAGTACCACTCATCACATGCATTTATTGGTTTTATATACGTTATTATAAATTGTCAAAGCTGACTAATTTTATAACAAGCAGAACGTGCTATATTGATAGGAAGATAAATAAACAGTTTACTAAACAGAAAAACGTGGTGAGCAATATTAACATTGGTTTATAAGTTTCCCTAAAACATTTACATTAGAATAGACAGCAAATCGTTTTCAATTGTTTTCCCGACTTCAATATGCTGGGGGGCCCGTTTATTGGAATTTATCAAAAAGATCTTCCTGAGTATTGAATCAGAGTGTGAGAGAGATGATAAGGATGTTACCCTATGTAATTGTTTTAGAACTGAAATGTGAAGGCACAATCACGCAATGAATCTAATAATTTACATTTTGAGCGGTGATAGCAATTATTCACAGGCATAAGCTATCAACTGAGGTTGTTTCGAAGTAAAGATAGCGTATCTTATAAGCCCATAACTTGCGGGATGTTAAGTAAAACGGAACTATTGTAGGCTTAACTGTTGAAAGAGGAAATAAGAAAACAATCCGTGGGACGAACAATCACTGTTGTGACGCGCGTTATGATAGTGAAGTAAGTAACAGCCACAGATGACATGTAATCTCTATGTCGACTACAATACGATGTTCTTCCTGAAGTTTTCAATATGTTGCCAGTTGTAAAAAACACACAGCGGTAGCCCCAACGCTTCAATGAGCAAAGGATGAAATTTCAGAAGTTTAGATACTGTAAGTATTAACATTGAGCCTTGCAAGATAATTGATACAGAATAACTAACACCAAGTGGATCCAAACCAAATGGTAAATAATTAAGGACGTCAAGAGACTGATGTTAGATCAAAATATTAGAAGGCTTACAGGAAAAGTGACGAGACGGAACGACACATGGCTCCTTACTTATTACATCGTTTGAACTTGTGGAAATGCTGACTAGAAAGGCACAACAAAAGGCCACGAGAACGAAAACTTGAAATAACTTAAAACGTAGCCATGAGACCAATAAACTTTAGAATGCGAGAGTAATCGACAACTGTTTGGAAGAAAACTACAACTACTAAATACCCAATAGTATTAAAATCCCAGAAGTGATTGAAAGACGTGCATCACTGCACCACATTTGGCTTACTTGATTACTTCAGTTAACCCTTTTGGAGAATCACAGGCCGACCACGCTTGAACATGTACCACTCAATTGGATTAAGCATTACACTCAATAGATACCCATTCTATTACCAATTAGCAAAAAATATGAGACAGTGAAAGCGAAACTGACGTTTCGTCAGAGGTATGAAAAAATTTCAAATAGTTCGACAGCATCTACTGAACGCACAAAAGTGTTATCATACTTAGGAACATTTTAATGAACGCACCCCTGAGTAGCAGCGCTAATTGCTTTCAAAGAAGCTTTTTTAACTTCATAACTGGGATGGTGCAAAAGCCTTGAGAGTGTTTCGAAACCATTTCTAGAGAAAATCTTTGCATTGTCAATCTGTGAGTGGAAATGATCAGATTACAGCTGTACCTGGTGCAGGTAATAGGATAGATCCTCCAAAAGTATTGCTAATCGTTCGTCTGAGGAATTATCCTGTTTTATTTCAGTCATTATTTCAGTTATAATTTCGGGATCTGTCTTGACATTCACGTTTATTTTCTGGAAGTCTTTTTTTAATTCGTCATATGAACGAAAGCGTTTGACTGATTGAGTGTTGGGCTCTCTCAAGTTATCCGCTCCTGAATATGTCGACACACTTATGGCAGGTTTCCCAGGTTCACCTACTGACTCAACAGAACACACAACTAACCTGAAATTATGTTGGAAGTGTTAGACATCACATCCATAAGTTTAGCCTTTATGTGCTCGATGTCTAAATTCTGTCTAACGTGTAGACCAGTTGGGACACTCCGGCCGGGTGTAACTTCTTCCCACTTATGAGGAGGGACAAAATCACTGGAATTTTTTGCTGCCGGTCATTGGAGAACTTGTAAGACTTACTATGTGACGTCACTATGAGCAGGAATACCACGTTTGAAACCCATATGCCCTCCATCTAAAGCCGTAAAGTAAGGCGTGACGTTGCAGTGCACTCAGCTAAGACAATGCAGGTAAGAACACATTCACAACACACATCAGGTGGGCAACGTCCCAGGGGTATCGCCCACGGATGGGGGTTGCGAGCACTTGAAGGTCAAACTGTCGCAAGATGATTGATGCGTCACATCGACAATTCGTGAAGTTTTTCAGAAGCGGTCATATCAAGACATTTTTAGATTTGAATTGAGTTCAGCCACACCATGTCTGATAACGTCCATCCTTCAAGTAACGAAGACGATGCCATTGTGATGATGCATGATATGGGACGGATCAGATTTCAGATTTGTGTAGTAAGGACAGAAGGCCTACGGCCTATGTTATTCATTTTCTAGTATGCTTCTGTGAGTGTCCAGTCTTCTCTTGAAAGAGTCAATTGAAGGTGCGGACACCACTGCGTCAGGCAGCAGGTTCCAAGTGTTGATGACATGGTGTGAAAACCTGTATGCCACGGGTATTTTGTTCGTTCTTGGCTTTTCGACTCGCCTGCTATGTCCTCTAAGGTGTCCCGATCTAGTGGGAAGAAAGAGAGAGAACAAGTTACGTCCGAAATCACTTCTCAGTATTCTGTACATCAAAATTAGATCTTCCCTTAGTCTGCAATAGGACAGAGTAAAGAGGTTCAGTTTTTCAAGCCGCTCTCTATATGATAAACCCCGGAGTTCCGGAATTGCACGCGTAGCTGCCCTCTGTACTTTTTCTAGTATGTCCGAGTCACCTTTTAAACAGGGGCTTGCAGCCCAAGTGCAGTTCTCAAGCTTAGTTCTCATTAAGGATGTGTATACTGTGGTATCTAGCTTAGTGAATGTCCTTTTTAAAGCCTAGAGGGTTCGAAACCCCTTGGCTGCGACCTCCCGGCAATGGGCCGTCGTCTCAAGGTCATGACTTACTGTCACCCCTAGATCCTTATGAGACCGGACTACGGGTAATGATACATCCCCTATGTTGTACTCATTACCTTTGAATCCCTCAAGTGCATGTAGACACACTTTTCCGCGTTGATAGGCATCAGCCACTCTTTAGACCAGTTTACCATATTATTTAAGTCTGCCTGAAGAGTAAATGCGTTTTTGTCTCCAGTTATTACTCGCCAAATTTTTACATCGTCAGCGTATAATAAGATTGGAGACTGTACTATACTCGTAAGATCATTAACCTTGGGGTACTCCACTAAGTACTGCTCTCCAGATGGAGCACTTGGAATTTATTTTTACTTTTTGTCTACGATCTACTAGGAAATCCTCCATCCATTTTAATAGAGGTCCGGAAACACCAAGGTTTTCCAACTTCAATAGCAGTCTATTTGTTCGCACCTTGTCAAAAGCCTCACTGAAGTCTATGTAGACAACATTCACTGAGTTTCTGTTGTCTAGCGCATTAATCCAGAACTCCCTTGCTATAAGGAGGTTCGTTTTACAGGATAGACCCTTTCTAAAACCGTGCTGTGCCATATTCAGCAAGTTATTGGTTTCCATAAATGCTGTTATGGTCCCTTTGATTATTCTTTCCAGTATTTTAATTACAACACTGGTGAGGCTTACGGGTCTGTAATTCGATGGAACTTGTCGTAGACCTGTTTTATGTATGGGAGTGACGATTGCGTCCTTCCAGTCCATAGGTAACACACCTTGGTCAAGTGACATATTGAATATCACAGTCAGTGGGGCTGCGATATATTGGGCAATATGTCTCAAGATTTTGTGGCGTAGTTCATCTGGTTCTGTTGACTTTTCCATGTTTAGGGTGTTGAGAGCCTTAAGCACATCGTATTGATCGAAGTCCATGGTGAGCAGGTGGTTTGTTGACTCTTTATTTTGGTCTGGTTCTTTGTCTAGAGGAGGTTCCTGAGTGAAAACTGCCCCAAAATAGTCAGCCATAGCCTCTGCTTTTTCCTGATATTCCTCTATCATTTCAGATTCACTTTCTACTTTAATTAGGTTGGGAATCCAATGATGCATCCTTGTTCTGTAGTTTATGTACGAGAATATTCTCTTGGACTGCTTGAGTGCAGATTGTGCCAGCTGCATTTCATATTATGATATTACGTTATCTCGAAGATTCACAGGTTGGGACAATTTCGAGGCCTGTTTGAAAGAAGTACATAAGGTAATATGGATTCTGTGGTAAGTAATTATTTTTTCAGTATACGCATACTAAGTACGTTATGTCAGTATGTAAAAAGAACAGTGACGACCCATCCCTATAGTATTTTTTGTAAGATATGTCTGTACATATGGACGTAAACGGAGTTCATCAGAGTCAGATGTTTACGTTCAGGATGTAGATTCAAAAGGTTCAAATGGTTGTGGACGGAATAGAAGAAGCTTTCGCTTAACAGGCTTCCGTGTCTAGTAGCAGTGGATCATCGATACCTCCAGGCAGGAACCTAAGTATATTACCGATAAAAAAGGAAAAAGAAATTGGCGAATCATAGTAAGATACTGTCAAAACTTGGGACCGCTGATGGCAGTGACCTGTCGATCGAACCAATCACGCGTAAAAACACGTGCGAGCAGTTTGGAGTCTTGATCAGTCCTGCTCTCCGCCTAGCCCAGCCAGTTAAGTCCAGAACACCAATCTGAGCCTCTGCGATATGAATCATTATATTTCAAGCATACTGAATTTATATACCAATCCAGACCAAAGCGTACCAATAAAATATGAAACAACATTTGTACAAGAATCAGCCAGATTTGGCTGTGAATGATGGAGGTAGTAATTAATATATTGGGTATAACTCAAGAATGGTAAAACGTATAATAATAGTTTATGGGTCAAAATAAAGCTTATAATAAGAGAAATATAAATATGCATAGGTTAGTTAATTACTAATTATACAATAGAAATATACGTTTAGTATTGGTCCATAAATGGATTCCAAAAGTTACCATTCATTAGTCTTGTCGGGACATAGCAGATACTATCCTTAGTCCTTAACAATAGGTCAAGTTGCCTCCCGAAGGACTCCTGAAAAGTCACCTGGACTAGCTCAGCTGACAGCGAGTTTCGGCATTTGACAACTCTTAAAGAGTAGGAGTTGTGTCTACAATCCGTTTCGCTGTGTTTTGTTTCCGGTTTCTGGGTGTTACCCCTTAGGTTTGTGTTGGAGCTAAGCTTAACTAGGTGTTTAAGGGGATGTCCAGAGGCGTTAAGGATGCTGTAAGCCATTAGAAAGTCACCTCTAAGACACCTGTACTCCAAAGGGTAAAGGTTTGGTGACTGGAGGCGCCCTTCATAAGGCTTCAATTTGAGTTCCCAGACTGATTTCGAGGCTCGTCACTGGATACGCTTCAGAGTGTCCTTATCCTTTTGGAGTGGTAGAGGAAATATTATGTTTCCGTACTCTAAATGGAGACGAATGAAACAGAATGATATATTTCTGTAGATCCTTCTAGACGAGAGTTGATGTCAAGTGAACGATGATATTCTACTGAGCAGTACACCAGTTCGTATCTTACAATATTTGGTTTCTTGGAATTTCCATAAACAGCTTATAAAGCACGATATCGACAAAGTTTGATCACGAATTCACATTCTAATTATTTGAGTTTAGAAACTCAAATTATCAACGACATTTTACGGCGCGTCCAAGCGGACACTTAAGTAAAGTTATTCAATGAAAGTGAGAACGTATGTGATTTGCTTCCATCGCAAAAGGAAAACAGTTTTTTGCCACGCGTTCCGTGAGGTAGTATGTATTGACCCGACCTATCAGACCAACACAGTTGTGTAAGTAACGGATAGTAAAATAGTTAATTTAAAGTTTTTCATTGTTCCAGCTAGTGGCTGCTGATAGACTTGGGCAAGAACACACTTTTATGTGTTCTTTTGCTGGCAAGAACGATGCGAAGACGTCGTGAGACTACTGGAATACTTCAAAAACATAATTTGCGGTACTTATGATGCACTCATTTTCGTTATGCGTTCGGCTGTGACACAAATTTCCGCGATACAGTCTACGCTCAGAAATGCTGACATAATACGTTGTTTCATTTCTTAAGAGCATTTTTCAGGTAAGTAAGCGCTAAATGTACAAATTATTTTCTGTAGTTCAGAAATGCTGATGTACGCAAATGCTTGGAACATCTCGTAAAAGTCAGGTGATCTGACATGTGAGTTTCGCTTTTCATAAGGTCTTATATTCAAATTTACTCAGAAGTACTGACATCTAAGAACCCATTTTCTACAGGCATATGATTAGATGAGAGATAATTGGATTGCTCGGGAGTCAGTGTGGGCTCGCTGTTACCAGCGACATATGCTAAGCCTGGGAAATCACACAAACAATTGTGTGGAAAGTGCTCATAAACACTTAAAAGAATGTCTCAGAAGAGGTGATTCTCTTCTATTGACAATCTGAAAAATCTAGAGCAAACAGACACTGACCTAAGTTTGCGTCCATATGACCTTGTAAAGGATCTCTAACGATTTCCGAACCTTTAGGCAAGAAATATAGTTGGATGTATCATTAAATCCAGGTTCCAATATCATTCCAAAATCTTTCAAATGAGTTTACAGATAAAAAATAGCTAAAAATTATAAGCGTAGTAGTAAAAGGAAACACAAATTAATGGCAGGAGGACATGTGATAGTATTAAGCCATAACCACACAATTCGCAAAGCTAAACACGAGACAACTGGCAAAACAGATATTCAACAACTGACGCGGAGAAAAATACAACAATGGATGAGGCGGGAAGAATAAATTCAATCGATTCATTCGGAATTCAATTCATCGGATGTCATGCATCGGCCTTGCAGGCGTGGTCATTTTTGAGTGTTGTCTTATATCTTTTATTCATAGTAAATATATTTTTCTATCTCTAGCCTAAGTGTGTTCTCCATCATATATTGGTGATTCTTACGATGCGATTGCAACATCCAAATTCCGGGGAAAATTTGACCCGTTTCGGGCAGGCCGCTATAATAATTTTAAGGAAATTTGAGG